ATATAGCCTAGTTGTAAAAAATAAAGTAAGAAATCATTCCAATGTGTACTATCAGACAGTAAAAAAAAAAAAGTTTAAAAGGGGAGTGATTGGTAAAATATGCATAAATAAAAAGAAAGGATGCTAACTAGGTAACATAAGATTAGAATAAACAAGTTCAAATGATTTTTTATTGGTTGTGATCATATTCTAAATATTTTTGGATTATTGAAAAGTATACAGCTCTCTTTCATCTGAGTGTTGAGAGCTGTATCCATAAATTCATTTTGTGCTCAAAGTGCACCAGATTGATCCATTTAACTTCAACATTTCAAAATAAATCTTCCCGGGGGTGCATGCCCCTGGACCCCTGGAGGATGTGAGGTCCACCCCCAAATAAAGCAGGTTAAAATAATTAAATAATAATAATTTTAGTAAACACTAAAAATGGGTCCCACAGACCCAAACAGCACACAAAGGTTAAAGGTAAGCATATAATAATGTTAAAATGTGCTAAATATATACACTGCAAATAACAAAAAAAAGAGGAGTAAAAGTAGCTCACGACTTGTTTTCTTTTTTGAAAGTAGCTCTCATCCTAAAAAAGGTTGGAGACCCCTGGTCTAGAGCATTTTTTTTACTTCAATTTGTGTTGTTTGCATAAAGCAAACAACAGAATACTGCCAGAAAATATACAAAACAAATTTGTCTTAATTTCAGAGGATGAGCATCATAGGAGGAAATACAATTTTAAGCATCAGTTTGCACGTACTACTTTAAAGCAGATGTGTGTCTCTGTAGTTGGCGTAAAGAAGTGAACATTTTTTACCGAATGATTTAAAGGGCTGTAAGAAATATTTTATGTTTAAGAAAATGTATAAAGAAAGCATATTTAGACCGTATGAAGTTGACTTTTGATTGTGTTCTGGTTTTATGTTTCAGTATTTGTAACAACTGTGACTGAAAGAATATTGCTTTTATTTTACTTTTTAATGGTCATTTCATTTTTTATTTCTTTTGTTGTTATTTTTTTGTAAGAAGGCCTGAGTTGCTGTGGTTCTTAAACGTTTCCATTTTGCAATAATACCACTTACAGTTGATCGTGGAATATCTAGGAGAGAATACATTTCACGAAACTGACTTGTTGCAACGGTGGCATCCTATATTGTAATATAGGATGTACCACGTTAGAAATCAGTGAGCTCTTTAGAACAACCTATTCTTTCACAAATGTTTGTAAAGGCAGACTGCTTGATTTTAAACACCTGTGGCAATGGGACTGAATAAAACTGAATTCAATGATTCAGAAGGGTGTCCCAATACTTTTGTCTTGTATATTATATAGCATTTGATCATATATCACAATGGAGCATAAAGAAACCCGGAAAAAGCAAGTCTGAAAACTGAAATTCTCTATTACTCAAAATATTACCTTTAATTGCATATACCAAAGAAAGAAAAACAGCTTTAATCACAGCATATGGTATTAAACCTGCTCTCCTCAAGTTTAAAAACTTGAGACGGTGCCGACTCCGGCGAACAGTTGAGATAGACCCAGTGTAGGGTCTGCAGGATCCATTTCAAAGGCTGGGGTTGACCCATATCCAGTTTGTGCTGTCTCATTCAGTGGCCTCTTGATATCCAGGGCGATGTGCTCCATGATGGCTCCTACTCTGACAGTGCCTATGGAGGCTTTGGTTGTCTTGAGGTGCCTGGCTTTGGATACGAGCTAGTACAGGTGCTGCAGTTAGAGAGCAAAATTCTGTTCCAGAAATGTTGGGTCTGTAGCCGAGCCACTGTGCGCTCCTGATCAAAATATCAACCTATTTGCCCAGGTATTTGTTTCATGATATCTGGGTGGTAGACGTGAGGCAGCACAACTTGTGAATTAAACTGTGTGTTGTCTAAGCAGTAGATCTACAGTTTGCCAAAAAAGAACGTATCCACTGGCTCAAATGTGTCTTATTTGCTGGACTGCATGGGGAGACCTTACCCATGGTAAGTACGCGCTGCTGGCCTCCATCCATGTCCTGATAGGGCCAATATCTGGATCAGTCTCCTTAGCATTAGGTCAGTAGTGTTGTTGGTCATAGTCAGGTAGATTTTTCCATAATTTACATTGTCTATTTCAGCAGGTGAAGCTTCACCTACCCCTATTGGACTCGCTGCTGTGGAAGCTGAGGATCTCTCTACCCCCACTGGTCTCAGCGTCACCTGGTTAATGTCAGAGTCCAACTTGAACTGCACAGCATGATGAATAAAGCTCACGGGAGGGGCATGGCATCTTACATGAACAAGACTGGCGAAAGAGTCTCCTTGAGAGGTTTTCTCCGTTGCCGTGTAACCGGCCGGTATGATTGACAAACTCAAAGTCTCTCCATCCACCTGGCAGGCTGTCCCTCAGGTTCTTTCATCTGTATTAGCCAGCGAAGGCTGCTGTGGTTAGTGCGCACTGTGAAGGGCTGGCCCTCGAGATACTGCCAAAAGTGTGATGTAAACTCCACCATGGCCAGCAGTTCACCATTGTGTAGTGCAGTTATTCATTACAGTTTTGGTAAGTTTACGACTCCCAGATGCCAGCATGCACTCCCTGCCTTGCTGAACTTAAGTGGATAACCCAAGACTGGAGCTGTGGTCAGCGAACATTTGTGTTTGCTGAGGAGGCATGTGGCGCAGTGGATAGAGCCTTGGTGTTGGGATCAGGGGGTCACAGGTTCAAACCCCACTGCAGTCAGCATGTCGTTGTGTCCCTGGACACTTCACCCCAAATTGCTCCTGTGGGGATTGTCCACAGTATTGAGTATGTAAGTCGCTTTGGATAAAAGCATCTAACAAGTGACATGTAATAGTGTAATAGTAATAGCTGAACACTGCCTGACATTCCTCACTTCAGTGAAAATGGGCATATTTTTTGTCAGGGCATGGAGCGGCTCAGCCACAGAAGCAAAGTATTTAACAAACCACATGTAGTATGATGCAGGGCCGGACTTCTTCCAGCATGTTGAAGCATTTACCAGTGGAGAGGATCTTGTCCTAACCCCTGGTCCGGCAGTGGCTCCGTCAATAGGGGCTTGGACTGGGAGCTGTAGGGTCGCCGGTTCAAGTCCCCGAACAGACTTAAAGTATGGAGTGTGGACTGCTACTTGGAGAGGTCCCAGTTCACCTCCTGCCCTGCTGTGGTGCCCTTGAGCAAGGCACCAGACAAACGATCATTTTCATGATCGCTTTTTCGTTTTACATTTTCATTTATTGTCATTTCCATTCAGTCAGTCATTAAGTGCTATTTAACATGTTAATTTGCTACATATCCACACAAACAAACTAAGTGTGCAATCCAATGAATGTTAATCTAACTGGGTTTTGATAGATAACATATCTCTTTTTCTTCTCTGAATTATTTTATTTCTATTGTGCACTCTAATCAATATTAATCCAATTATTGTTTCGTTTATACATTTTAAGAATGGCGTTTATCTTTTTTGAGAATGAGTTCTTATTTTATTTAATGTATTTGGGTCTACAACAGATGGTACAAATGTTTGTGTCAGTAAATGTGTACTAACAGAGGCGGGGGTGTTTGTGAAAATAACGGGGACAGAGCTGCTGTCAGACGAACAGCTGTGCGGCGTCATCACAAACGGACGTCGCTTCACGTGACGCTCCGGAGGAAAGGACGTCCCATTGCTCTTAAAACTCATTTCCCTGCTTCTTGTGGTTTCCTTGCGTCTCTCCATGCTTCCCTGGTGGGAGGGACTAAACGCAGGGAAACGACGCAAGTGAGGGACGCAAGGATTCCATTTAATCGACCTGAGAAGGACCCCCGGTACTAGGATGGGTTAAATGCAGAGAACACATTTCACTGTGTGTGCTGTGTGCTCTGCATGTGTTAAAGAGGGTTTCATCCCTCCCAATATATTATTATTGTGTCTTGTATGTGGGGTAGTGGTTACGTATCCTATATATATCCTTTTTGCAGACCATCACAATTGGCAACGTCCAGCTGCTGTGACTGCGGAGAGCCAGTCCTGACTCCAGGCTATTTTGTATCTGCTTGTTGGCACTTACTTGTTTCTCTAACTATGGACCATGGGAGGTTCAATTATAGTCTGCCCTGGCTGGACTGTAGTGTCTTCAGGCTGAACCTAGGCAGGTTAAAGAAAACCTGCAACGGCCCCCTTTTTGATAGTTATGGGAACGTTAACGGGATTGAAGATGCGTAGGGGCACAGTCTTAGAGCATTGAGTTTCCACGAGGTATTGGGCTACCAGCAGTTTCAGTTTTTCAACAAAACCCTGGGTGGGGCTAAGCATTACTTCCCCTTTCATTTGTTCTTTTAAACTAGTGAGGCCTGGTACTATGTACTCCGGCCCTGGCTCCACTAAAACCGGTCTTCTCTCACTTCTCGTGATAGTGGCTTGCTTTGTGATTGGAAAAATAGTACCTCTTTGCCAAACTGCCCCATGCGATTAGAACCGTACTCTGGGTTTGCTTTGGAATGGACCAGTTAGATGGCCTAGCAGGGCCTCCTCTGAAGCTAGGTCTGCAACCAGGAAGTGTATGATCACTTGGTGATGTTTATCTGGACAGGGATGTTAGCTTCAACGATCACAGGTTTGTGTCCAGCCCAATACCAACCACAAATGTCACAACTGATGGCTGGAAAGGAGGCAGGACCTCTGGGAGAAAAGCTTGTAGTGACACGGAGACAATACATTTATCTGTGCACCACTGTCAAAAACAGCACACACTTCCACAACATTTATAAGCAGTAGGATGCACATTTCCCGATAAGGAGTTTTAGGGTGAAGCACAGTTGGGTCAGTCATTTCAGGAGAGGCTGACAAAACTTAGCTAGCTGTTTACACCAAAACAGTTGAAAATAGTGCCCAACATCTTGGTGAGCAAAGAGAAAATTGTGAATCATGTGAATGCAGCTTTAGAAGTAAAAGTATATAAAGCTAAGTATAGAGTTTTATTCCTGAGTAAATCTGATTTTTTTGCTGTCTTTTTTTTGTTTTCAGGACACGGCGGGTCAGGAGCGTTACCGCACCATCACCACTGCCTACTACCGTGGCGCCATGGGCTTTATACTAATGTATGACATAACCAATGAGGAGTCCTTCAACGCCGTCCAGGACTGGTAAGCGATTGTCCTGGAAGCTTGTCTGTATGCTGTTTCTGTGTGTTTGATTATCAAAATAATTAATTTAAAATGTACTTACAGGGCGACCCAGATTAAGACGTACTCATGGGATAATGCCCAGGTGATCATGGTGGGTAACAAGTGTGACATGGACGAGGAGAGAATCATACCTGCAGAGAAGGGAAAACACCTTGCAGACCAGTTAGGTGAGATGTTGCCGCATGAGTGTTACTTAGTATCTTTATAGAGTGGTGCAGGGATGACATATCTTTGTAGGCCGACCCAGAAATTAAAATGCATGTTTTGTTCAGCCGAATAATATCCACATGTCTACCCTACTTTTATACATTTCGAATCATAAATCTAATCGCCAGAAGCAAAATGCTAACGTTATGCTATAAACTAACTACAGCAGAGTACAGCAGGGTCGCACGACTTCAACGTCACGCCAACTTAAGATTCAAAAATACAGATTCAAAACTATACAAGTTGAAGTGTTTGTTTTAACAGTTTGCAGCGCAGGTACTTGCCTTCAAGCAGAACAGGGGCAAACAAACTTAGCGGGAGTGTTTACATGTTCGGCGTAATGACGTACAACGTCCTCGACAACTTCTGTAGTCCTATTCAGCCACTTGTTAACAACCATCGTTTTTCAGACACGTAAACTCTTCAAAAATCACAAGTGGGGTCACTGCTGATGTATTTAATGTCGTAGAACAAAACGTACTCAATTTTGGCTTCGAGAGGGAGTTTCATATTAACTTACCTTACTCAAGCTGTAAAGTGTGAGCATTCGCTGGTACTAAGTTTTTGTTTTAAAATCTCCCTCAATGTTTCTCAACAGGGAAAAAAAATAAACAGGATAACGTATCAAAAACAGGGTTTGGTTTGATAAAAAAAAACAGTTCAAATTAAAAACAGATTTGTATTAAATGTATCGCTATTAATTCTAGAATATCCATCAGACTCGTTTTCAACGATCATATGCCCTGTAATAAATAGAAGATTTAAAGTTTTGATTTGTGATAATATTAACTAGCTACATTATAAGTGAGGGGTTGATTTCGGACACATAGCAGCATTTCATTTCTCATAAAATGTATGCTTTACTATTATTAAAGGTGGGGTAGGTAATTTTGGAGAAACCAGCTCGAGTGCGCTAGAATTTGAAAATACACAGCCGGAAGAAATCTGCTACTTCCTTACAGAGCCCCTCCTCCAACACACACTCATTGGTCATTGGCACATGACCAATGAGGGCACGAGATAAGTTTGTGCACAGACAGGCTGACAGGCAGGTCGGCCATCCAATCATTTTAGCCAGCCCGGTTAAAATGATTGGTCGTGCTTTTTACAGTACTACGGCTTCCACAGATGATTTTTTTTAATGGGTTTTTTGTTAAAGCACTTAAGATATTCATTGCTATCGGGATGTTAAGAGCATTCCATGGAATATAACAAAAAGTGTATCTCGAGCCGGTTTCTCAAACTTACCTACCCCACCTTTAAACGATATAATATTATTTTCCCAATTTATGATATTCTCCAATCTCAAGCTGATCCCCCTTACATTGCCTAAAATTGCATATGTTGAAGACAAATCCATGTGTTGTAATAAAGAGCGGCTAAACTAGTGTGAACTACTTAAACTGTAGTAGAAAATGCTTTCACTCTGGGGTGTGTGGTGATGAAAACCTTTATAATAACAATGTATTGCCTGTTGCCAAAGGCCAAAAAGGTATTTGGATTATGCACAATGCTGGTTTAACACCACTGCATGGAACTAACCTCAAAGTTGCTGGCTGAGACACTGAAACAAAAATGTGTCTGCTGTGTAAAGTTTTACTCTGTACAGGAAGATAGAACAAAGGGTTTTGTGAGCAGCAACAAATTACATTTCAAACATTTGGTATCCCAGGTTACAAATGGATATTTTAAAGTAGGAAGAAGAATCTGAATACAGCCAACACACTTTGAGATGCTCAGATAGATAAAACCACACCTCAAGTTTAGTAGAAAAACAGTCTTAAATGTTTTGGCCGTTGCACAAGGAAAGGGGAGTTAGAGATTCTTAATTCTATACTATCCCATATTAATCTCACATGCATGTCAGAAAAACTGTGAAAAAATGGTCCAGTTCAACTGATTTTCCTGTACCAGTTTATTTTAAATAAAATATAAAATTATTAAGCCGTTTAGTTTTTCTTTCAAATGTTGTCAACGTCATGAAAACAAACATTTATATTCCCTCTTTGCTTTTGCCCCATGTATCAGGTCACTGTTTATGAAACCCAAATCAGACAGTTTGTCAATTCCCACTGATTCTGATTCTGACAGTTTTTGGACTACTTACATTTAAATTTGAACATTTTGAGAAATATATATACATCAGCCTGCAAACAATTTGCATGAATTCACTAAAATGTTTCAACCTTCTGTTTCCTTTTGCAGGCTTTGAGTACTACGAGGCAAGCGCCAAGGAGAACATCAATGTGCAGCAGGTCTTCGAGCGCCTGGTGGACATAATCTGTGTAAAGATGTCAGAGCGCGTGGACGTAGAGGTGCCGGCCGCTCCTGGCACCAAGACTACCAGACTGACTGACAAGCCCGCCCAGCTACCTCAGAAGTGCTGCTGATCGTCCATCCGTTCATCCATACATCCCTCTGCTGTTGCCTTGTCTGCTTCCCCCCATAAGCTTTTGAAAAAAGAAAAACACTACTTAAATATTATAGCATTCCTCAACTCACTCTCCCTGCTTCAATACATGTTTGTGAGCAATCAATAATCACTATGACTCCTGGGATTTATATTACAAGTTTAATCCTGTTCTTGTCCCCAAGGTTGGTCAATCTTTGCAGGAGAAGGAGTGAGTGTAGCAGTTTGTTCCCAATAAAATTAAATGTGGCATTAGAAAAGTTTTAGAGCCAAGCTAGGTAACAGAAGATGTTGTGCAAATAGGAGATTAAAAGCCTGCTCAGAAGATAAAGAGTTAAAGTGTATGTTACATTTTTAGATTTAATTTGAGGGACATGAAACGATTTATCCACTATGGAATGGGTTGTAGTCTGACAGAGGAGGATGCAATTAGGGAGATAATGTGACAAAACGACCACAATTCCATAGAGGTAATGAGTAGACTCATTTGAAAATATAATTAATTTACCTCCAGTTATCTGACATTGGTAAGTTCCAGTTGAAAGCACCAGTAATTCTGGTTTTGTACATTTTTGAGACATACACCTGTCTAGTGCACACACTGCCTCATAATTGGTTGAGTGAAGTGCTTCATTTTAGATGCATAAAAAAAGTGCACTGGTGAGCAGGGCTGAAAGCAGGGTCCAAAGGTAAGCACAGCACTGCCTCTCCTCTCAAAGTGTAGCACAACAAGAAACTCACCACCAAAACTGCTCATGTTCACAAGTTTACAGGTCATAGTCGTTCATCCAAACATTATATAAGATAAGATAAGAAAAGAAGGACCTTTATTAATCCCCGTGGGGAAATTCAGTAGTTTAACAGCAACAGGGTAAGATTGAAAAACAGGACAGCACAGATTCACAAAGATTAATACAATTAAGGATAAAATCAAAGATACAAATTAAAAATGGTAAATAACTATAAAATAAGAAATGAATTAAATTGAACATATATACATATTTGGTCATGTGTACATATTATTTACATGTGTGTGTGTGAAAACAATATGTATTTTATGTGAGGCTGCTTTAAAGATAGCTACTAGTAGTGAGTCCACACAAATGCAATATGCCCATAGCCTAACCAACTGTTTCTGGTCTTACTTTGCGCTGTTTTTGGCTTGAAAGACAATTTAGGGATACACCACCAATGCATATTTCCGGGTCGGCCTGCAGCCCAAATCATTAGAGGACTCTGTAAAATCTAATGGTGCCCTGTGGGGTTTTTTAAAGCAAAAAGTAAAACATGTCTATAAATTATGCCTTGACCAAATCTTCTACCTAGGTGGTCAGGAAGCCCAGAATCTTTTTTTCTCAAGGAGCTTCAAAATCTGCACATTATAAGACACAAACTACTTTCAGATCCTAATTACAGATAAGACCAACCCCCTAGACAAAATTAGTTCATAGTTTTCTACTGTTTTCCAGAGGTAGCCTAAATAGCACAAAAAGACATTAAAAACCCAGATGAGGTTGGGCACTGCAGCCAATGGCACAATCCAGCACCATACTGAGTGTTATATACACATGTGGGCAGGTACATGGTTCTTTTTTCCCCCATTAGCACATAGACGGAATTTTTTGTGTGTGAGAGAGCGGTGTGTATGTGATATTAGAGCCGACATCGTGGTGCATATGTTTATCATGGTAATTATTGAGTGTTCATTTTTAAGGGTTTTTTGTGTTTGTATACAGTGTCTTTGACGGAAGTGTGACATTTTGAACATGTCATGTCAGCTGAGATACAGTACGTGTTTGTTCACAATGAATTCCATGATAAAAGGGAAGACAAGAAGACAAATATTTGTGCATTTATTATTAAATATTGAAGATTGGAAAAAATCAATAGCCTGCCAAATTATTATATAGCTGCCACGTTTTGTGTGTAACTCCCTCCCATGTGTCTTCATATTGATATGAAAAAATATATATATATATATTGACATTGTCTTCATATGATTCTTTTTTAAAGTGAATTTGTAAATGATAGATTTAGAAATTATAATGGTGTTGAGTATGAATACATTTTTTATGCTGTGTATACCATGGACAAAATATATAGAAAGTTAATGTAAACTTGTTGTCTAACAATTCCCTCCTGTACAGGGGAGAAGCACAAAGTGATTGTACAAAATATTGTGAATGTTTGTATATTATAGATGCAATTTAGTAAAATAAAAATAACAATCTTAATAATAACATTTTAATGTAATTATTTTTCCTGAGTGTCTGTGTTTTTTTCAAATAGTTTCAACACTCTCTTTTATCTCTACTTTCATAACCACCAGTACTTGGTGGCGAATGTAACAAATACATTCCTTGACATTACACAACATTAACACCATATACAGACACAGTGCTTTAAGAAAAAGCCATCAAAAATAAAATTATGAAAAATATATATGAAAATAAACAAAAATAAATAAAACATATATAAAAGGTTTTACATTCCCTTTGAAAAGATGGAAGTATGAAACTTTTATAAGAAAAAAGTAAATGAACTGTGAGTTTTTTAGAATGAAGAAAATAGAAGGAAATAAAATAGACAGAAATATATTATCAGACGTGAGGAGTAAAAACACCTTTCTCTTGACTGCAGCCCTCCGACTATTCTTATGTCTCTGCATTTTCACGAGGTCTGCCAGTCTGGGGCTCAGCTTCCTAGGGGATATTAGTACACTTTGCTTTCTCTGTTGACACACAAAATAAAAAGCAATTGGTAATCAACTTGTCACATTGGGATTCATACATTGTCATATTGTTTTGATTACCTTTTTTTCCCTGGGTGGCTCCTAGTCCTTCTCCTTGTCCTCCCTCTTCAGCCTTCTGTTGGATAATAAAAGAGAAAATAGTTATCCATCTATTGTCCAACACTGGACTAAAAATGTCTAATTATACATGATTATTGTCTTCAATTACGTGAGATTGAGGTGGCATGCTTTCTTCCTCCTCCTCGTCCTTCTTCTTCTTCTTATTCTTCCCGATCAACCGCCTGTTGGATAATAAAAGAGACGATAGTTATATCTATATATCACATACATTGTCAAAAACTGCCATACTAATGAGTAATCATACATACATCACACTGATGCAGAGTCCTCTTTGAGGTCGTCTCCTGTGCCTGTTCAAACAGGAGACGACCTTTGCGGTCCTGTTGGATGGTGAGGTCCATGGCATAGTATTTATCAGAAGTAGCCGTGTCATGGCACATTAGCCTGGCCATGCTGTGTCGCTCCTCTGAGTCTTCCCCATGTCTGTCTCTGGCCTGAAGCAGACAAGACACAAGAGCATAATTAAAAGTTTAGGTGAGGTTGTGAGCACAGTAGATCAGTTGCATTATTTCTCAGTCTCACCTTCACCAGTCCGCAGACTGGTGAAGGTGGCCACCCCCCTTGATTCATCTCCGCTTCAGATGTCTTGTGAGGTCGGGCTGGCGGTCCTATTGAAAAATACGTACTTTGACTTTTCTCTCCCCGCCGCCAATATATTTTTCATCTCGATGATGCTCAGCAGCCATCCATACTCCTGGCTGCTGAGCAGCATCTTAGCCAAGCCGAAACTCTGGTTGGAATCAGAATCACAATTTAGTTTACACATACAAGGAAAGTGCCTTGAATATACTTTGAACAAATAGGATAAATCAAGTTATTACTATCAGCAGGTAGTCGCCATTCTCCAGGCAGTGCACTGCCTTGGTGACCTGCCCATCGGTCATGTTTAAAAACACTCCAAGGCGGTGACCGTAGAGCGAGGCCAGGAAGGCAGTGACATAGCCAAACAGTTTACACTTCCAGTTTAGCTGCAATGACAAGGGAAATTTCATCCATTTATTTGAATTGCTACATTACCCTGTTAATTATAACAGATGTATTATAACTTACAGAGGAGTTTGGGGATTGCCAATAGTGCCAGCCTGCGGCACTCGCATAGCTCCTCCATGGAGTGAAGGGTAGCCTCCTTCTTCTCCTTCACATGCATGGCGTGAATGGCAAGGGGCCGTGCCCAGGACTTGATGGATGCCTTCAGCTCCCTGATGGCCTTAGTAATGTCCCCCTTGCTGACACGCAAGGACGGAGGTGGGGTCTCTTTAAAAAAAAAAAACAGGAACTGGCACACATTCTTTAAGTAATGCAATGTTGTGGAGAGGGCCATTGAGCATTCTCTGAGATGTGACACCCATCTACAATAAAAAGACACAAGCACAAGATAAAAATTAGCCCTCCTGTTATACTAGTTTTTGCAAAAATATTGTCCTGGGTCAATTTGACTATAAATCAACATTTAGTGCAATTGTGTTATTCGTGTGTGTGTGTGTGTGTGTGTGTGTGTGTGTGTGTGTGTGTGTGTGTGTGTGTGTGTGTGTGTGTGTGTGTGTGTGTGTGTGTGTGTGTGTGTGTGTGTGTGTGTGTGTGTGTGTGTGTGTGTGTGTGTGTGTGTGTGATAAACGCATGAGAACAATCGAGCTAAAAATAAAACACTTCAGTGACGTACCCCTGCAGACGGTCGAGCTGCCCCAGGAATTTGAGCTTCGACAGGCCACGCATGCCTTCGCTCATCCGGGCGACAAAGTGCCTTATCCTGTACATTTTTTAATGTACATTATTCAGCAGCTTTGGAGATGGTCTGGGGCCCGCCTGCAGCTTCCTGAATTCCTTCAGGATGTCGTCTGTCAAAAGATAGGGACACAATCTGTTACTAGACAAAAATAATCTCTATAATGATCATGGCATTTATTCTATTATACGTATGGATGTTTTCACTCACTGAGGACGGTGACGTGGTCGGGGAAGGCCAACTGTCATAACGCAATGACCTGGGATGTCCCCATAGAGGAAGCACCCGCTTGAGATGTCTGGTGGGGCGAGCTGCCCTCGAGCTGAGCAGGGCCACCCATTTTTGCCTGGAGCTTGGTCCTGTTTAAACTTTGCTCCAGGTTCTTGTATTTGCTCAGAATGGTCCTATTGTATTTTTTCAAACACTCAATTTCATCATTGCAGCCTACAATGATTGCTTTAAGTTTTGCGAACGTACTCTTGTGGCCTCCCTCCTCCTCCTCCTCCTCTTCCTCCTCCTCCTCCTCCTCTGCAACTCCCGGTCCTGAAAAAGTGATGGCATATTATATTGTTATTATCAAGAAAAACGGGAAGATCAACAATCAATAAATAAATGTTTCAATAATAAATAAATAAATAGAAGAATAAATAAATACAACATTATAATACTGGGCTTTCTCCCCCGATGTATAGGAGTCGAGACTAGTCTTTTTAGACTTGGCGTCACCTGGAGATATAATTTGATGTATCGTTTGTCCCATAAATCACGCACACACACACACGCACACACACACACACACACACACACACACACACACACACACAGGGGCGCCGTAAGGGGGTGAAAAGTTAGGAAGATTCTAAGGGCCCGTGACTGACAGGGGCCCCAAACATTTTTAGAACATTAAGAAAAAATGTTTAAGTCACCTTTCATCAATCATCAATAATTAACATTAATATAACGTTATATTAATAATGTACTCACTAAACTTACGATTAATTTCACTTGTTTTCTTCAAAAAATGTATTATCCAAAGCCTCTGTACATCCCTCTATTTACATGTAATGGTTTGGTCCTGCCTCCAAACGCTGTGCGGCACTGCACTTTCTGGCAGAGAGTGAGAGCATGTGAGGAGGGATGCTAGTACTTACGTGTGTACGATGTCTCGACTAACAAAGTCAGGCTTTCAAAAAAGAAAAGAAAGGAGAGAAAGACAAGAGAGAGGGACTAAAGGGCAACAGTATGTCATCCAGTTTTTCAAAAGAAAAGGTGGGTGTGGTCTATGAGTGGTGGAAATTAGTCTGTTAGCTAAGCTTAGTCCATTGTAAATAATAATTGTAATGTTTTGCTGACATTAAGTACTGTTAATATCTTCATAGAAAATTCAGAGTTTTTTCATTTCACTCCTCTTTTAGCTGACATTTAATAAATGCAGGTACATTTTTAGCAGCTATTCATACTAAATCAGTTGTCCCTCCCCCTGGTGCCAGATCCATCTTTAGGCTCAGCAGCCCTGTCCCCCCATAAGGCTTTGCAGTCTTGCCATGCTGTCCATTGAAAGCCAGTTGGCTAGAAAGCTGGACTTCAAGGACTTGATCAGTGACTTTGCCTGTAAGAAGGCTAGGCGCTGGGCTCTTGGTGAGTAAGGCTGAGCAAGGGCTCGTAATAACTGTTAAAGGGCAAGGCTATGGTAACGATATTGGATCACTACACACAAGATCAGAGGTGGGCATTTTACGGCCCGCGGGCCACATCCGGCCCGTTGGCCGGCCCGTGTGAGGTTGATCATAAATTATAACATAATGAAAAAAAACAGCAACCTTTTCAAAATAAAAGCAACACAGCTGTATTGCTTGCATGGCGTAAATACTTTTCTAACTGTGTTGCTTTTATTTTGAAAAGGAAGCTGCTGTTTTTTTTATTTATTTACGTAAACGCTGATGTTTGGTGATGCTGGCCGGCTAGTCCTCGAAATGTCCGCTAAGGGCAAAAAAAGAAAGATCGATACTGAATGCCGCGTTTTCAACAAGACATGGACCGCTAAGTATTTATTTACAGAAGTGAAAGGTAAAGCTGTGTGTTTAGTTTGTGGTGCGCAGGTCGCTGTGTTCAAGGAGTACAATTTGAGTCGCCACTATGCTACCAAACACGCAGATAAATACAAGAACCTGTCTGAGGAAGAGCGGGCAAAGGGGTCGGATGCTTTGCTAGCTAAGCTGCAAAGTCAACAACACATTTTCACAAAACATTCCACATCCAGAGATGCAGCTGTCAAGACGAGTTATGTCTTAAAAGTTAACCGTTTTCGGACGAAGAGTTCATTAAGGAGTGTTTGTTGGACACTAATATGCCCGGAGAAAAAGGAGGCATTTGAGAAAGTGCCGCTCTCCCGACGCACTGTTACGAGGAGAATTGAGGACATCGCGGGAAATCTGGAGCTTCAGCTGCAGAACAGAGCGGTCAACTTTGACTTTTTTTCCTTGGCTTTGGATGAGAGCTGCGATGTACGTGACACTGCCCAGCTACTCATCTTCCTACGTGGGATAACTACAGACTTCAAAATCACGGAGGAGCTGGCAGCCATGCAGTCAATGAAAAGTACAACAACAGGGAGTGATTTGTTCACGGA